GTGCTCCCCCCGGATCCGCCTACGGACATAACAGGGATATGTTCTGACGAAATAATTGCCGAAGCCTCTAATGCAGTGCCTGGATGCTACATCTTCACGTGCTGCTGTAATTTTCTTCTGTTCCTAATCCGTTGCATGTGTGGATCAAAATCAGTAAGAACCAGATGTAGTTGTATGCGATTTTGAGAATTTTTGAAACATTAACCTCTCTTTTATTCATCGTCTCTGATTTACCCCCTCGCCGCCCGGTTTTTGTTTCATGGGAAGTCAAAACTCCATCCATATTCACTTTCTTTTTTAAGAGGAGAGGCATTTGAAAGCAGTTGCCAAATGCCAGAAATGACTTTTCGCTGGCAAGGTTTTCGATGACCACTTTCTCTTTGCGGTTGCTTATAAGCAAGCTGATGGCAGGATTTCTTTCAGGGATGTGGCGTCAGTTGGGTATTAATTACGTGAAATATTCGCAAATTGCTGCATCGGCTACACGTAAATGCGTGAAAAAAGGAGCGAAAAAGGAGGTGGAGAAGCCGGCAAGAGCAACTGTCACAATTACCCCATGGGAAAATGGGAAGCCCGTGAAGAAAGATGAATGAGAATACAGCTGCTGCTACTGCTACTGCTGCACCGATTTTCCCCGGACTCAATGTTTTCTGGATTCTTTGAATTTTTCCCAAACATTCTGTCTTTATTTTTATCCCTGAATAATCATCGAAATAATTTGCGATTGCGAGAAAATGGCCTTATTTCCCTCCCGCGCCCCCCTCCCCCCCTCCTCCTCCCCACGCCCTCCTCCCATACTCTCAGTGGATTATTACCAACACAATTTTGTGGCCGTTAATGCTTTTTATATCTAGTAATTCGGTGGCACATTAGTGACCTCGAAGACTTTCTCCCGCTCCTCACCAGTAGCCCCAGCGACCTTGGTGGTTGTTTTCGGCCTTTCTTGCTGGCACATGAATACAAAAAATTCATAATCCGATAGTCCAATTGTGAAAATGGTAACTTTTCCAAACCCTTTGACCGATTCTTCATTGCCCGTTTGTCAGCGTTCTGGTGACGCGACCCTGACATTCGTTTCGTCTCTTGAGGGGATTAAAAGATTTTAACGATTTTTCTGATAGACATACTTGGCGGGGCTTTAGCTGTTCCCAAATTTTCATGAGCAACGAAGTCTCGTCCCGAACCTTTTCGACTGGGGAGAGAGGGAGGGGAGGGGATCGATATTAATGAATTTTTAATTTGAAAAGAAAATGATTTTTGCAGAATGGGCAATAAAGCGTCACAAATAGAAAAGAAAATCGATTTCGGTTATTTTTTCGTCGAAATTTCAAAAACCCAAACAGAGATTTATGCGCTTAAGAAGTTAAATTATTAACGTGGTTATTCGAAAATCTTTTCGGCATTAAAAAATAGGTTTACTTTTAGTCAGATATTGATACCTAAGAGGTTGTAAATGCTAGAGTATTCCAATCTGTTCCGTTTTTTCGATGATTTTGTGTATGATCTTGATCATCTTTTTTCTGTTCCATCTGTGCTAAACCTCTCCCTCCCCCTCCCCCCCTTCCCATTACACTGACCGGCCATCATAGATTTGTTCAGTGTATTTTCTAATTTTCATTTTTTTGCAGCTAACTTGGTCATTTGTTAAGTTACGTTATAGGTTTACCATGTTGTAATGTTTTTCTGATCCATTTCGCGTCTTAGTTTACCGCATTCTATAACTTTATCTATCGCAGATGATAAGATAAAAAAAAAAAATATTTTCAGGATGAGTGCTACTGTGAACAAAGTTTCGAATATTTTTGATAGCTCAGATTTTGATGAAGAAACATGGCTTGTGCAACCGCCTGGCTTATCATCACAATCAGATACAACACACAGCTCAGGTCGTATTCTTGAATGGCTGCAGGTGAGCTCCTTCACATTTCAAATTATTTCGTTTTTCATTGGTACATTTACAAGTACTCTATAAAAGCAATGGGAGACACTTGCTAGAAGAATACAGCTTAGGATCGAAAGGCCTGACATAGCTGCGCCCACTGGATGGGGACTTCTACTGGCATCACTAATGTAACGTAATCACAGTGGTAGCTCGGATGTTTTTAGTAATTCATGTCGTGTAATAGATCAAATAATGATTAATGCTTTTTTTTTGGTTAAAAGTAAGTTAAAGAACAACTGCGTTGCTATGACACAATACCCCTGTCCTTGGTTCAAACTTTGGCCACTCTATCCTCATTGAACTTCCGATTTTTGTCCCCTGGGGTATAAAAGCACTTCTCCCCATCGCTGGGATCGCCACTACCCATCCCCACCACTGCGACTATTTTTATTATGCGTTTTGTGCTGTGTAACAGCAGTACAAAACGCATATTGTTACGGGGTTGTC